ACAATAAATGAATACCATCTGATGAACTTAAAAGATTTTTAATAGATTGTGGTTTAAGGAATTCGTTTACTGGAACATAAAGGTCAGTCATACGAAGATTATACATCGGTTGTACGCGGAAAGTCAATGAATAGATTATACCAAGTAAACCTAAACGATAACAAAGTTAGTTAGCAAAAAAAAAGTAATAATCGAAAGTAAAAAGCTTAATAGATACCTAAATTGACTTTTGCAGCATTGAATTCTGATTTGCTTATTTCTTCGCTAAATTCATATAATTCGCCAGATCCAGTGACGATTTGCATAGAGCAAAGTTGCTCTGACATAATACTTGAACTGGTCTTTGCACCATGTGATCCTGTTGCGATAACACCAGATACTCGAAATATGTTAGGCACAGTCTCGGAATCAAGAGTTAATGGCGGATCGTGATTTCGGAGTGCGTTATCAAGATCATATAATGATGTACCTGTTTTTAATTAAATAATACAGTAAATCATTATTATGTTATCTTTATCACGAATAAATATCCAGACCTAGTGATGAGCTAAATTGATTAGATATTATTACTTATACTTTTAATTTTTTTGCAAATTATAAAATTAATAATATCTTAAAATTTAGAACTCGATATACATAATGACAGATTTATGTAATTCTAATTCTAATTACATCACTGACGCAAATATAAGGTTAATTAATATTTGTTATCAATTTTCATAAGTAATTGCTATTAATTCTAATCTCATCAACAAGTAATCGCCCATCATTCTCTAAATACAATCTTTAACTCTGGACAAAAAATACTAGATTCCTATAAATGCAATTTCTCTTATTGTACTCTAAAGACAAGCTATCAGCATTTAGAGCATTTAGGGAATATGTACAAACATTTACCTGCTTCAACAGTAGCAGTCCAGCCATATTTCGGATGTTTTTGCACTGTAATCTGATTTAAATTTGTAACTACCACCAGATAGTTCTCTGTGACGGACAGAGAATTTTCGTTATGCCCTTGGGCAGCACATCGAATAGTTTTATTATTTGTCTTTGCTAGCTTTACAATCTCTATAAGTTCTTCAAGCGTAGACGGTTCAAAAATGGCATTTGGTGAAATAATAATTGCACCATTCCAATTTACCCATGTTTTATTTTCAATCGGTTTTGCAAAACGAGCCACGAGATCTTTATTAATGCTAATCGCGACAGACTTATAAATAATCGAAATTAATAGGATTAGTAAAAAATTTAAAATGTGCTTCACGATCATTATAAGTAATCAAGTAGGTGAGGTTAAAGTTGAAATGGTCTCTTAGCAATATCTAGAATTATTAAAAAATTACACCATGCACGAATTATAGCTTGACCTTTATATCATTATAGGGCGAAATATAATGAATAAAGTCAAAACGGACTATAACAGGTTTTTTGGCAAGAAAAATTTATTTTAAAAATTTGGAACTTAGTTTTATCAAATAATATTTTTAATACGATGGTTTTATCTTTTTTTAAGCCGAAATTACAACTCTTTTATACATTTTAGAGAAAAAGAAGCACAAAGTTTAGTCGGTTAACTTCCAGGGGTACCAAAAAATTAATTGCAATTATTATATATTTTATTATTGTAATATAATATTTCAATAATAAATATAGTAAATATATATATATATATGAGTGTCGCTAAAAGAAAACCCGAAAATTTTAAATATGACCTATATTTAAATTTTCGGATTTTCTTTTAGCGACACTCATATGGTGTTAAACACAGTGTTTGTAGTTGACTTGAGCTAGTCGGCAAAGTGGTGTAGCCGCCTCCTAAGCAACTTAGTCGGTCGACTAAATAGTCAATTGATTTTAATTATACTATTGTTCGCGATAAATATTATTGGTTAATAAATATGTATGAATGTCCATGAAAAGGGGACGCTTAAAGCCAGGTCCATTGCGAATTTAAATTAACGTTAAGGTTAGGGTCAGTTTAGGGCCTGTATGGACTAATATTAAAAGGTTTCTATATGTAAAATCGTCCCTCGACATTTTTTCTTAATGTACCAAGATAGGTTTAGACATTGGTTTCTTGTATTTTTCTCATTTTTTTCTTTTTTCGCTTCGTCGGGCTGATCCGCGTAAACAAAAATTGGAGATTTTGATTGGTCGTGCATAACGGGAGATCTCGTGATGGACCTGGCTTTAAGCGACCCCCATGAAAAGGATTGCATGTGATAAATTTATTAATCTAACCAAAATTAATTAATGTAAGCTCTTAGTCGACCAAGCCGACGACTTTTCCAATGACTCAGTTGATGGACAGTTAATCGATCGACTACTATCACTAGTTAAACACCATAGGTGCATTTTAGAATTACCTATTACAATACAATTAAATTGCGATTAATTGCAATTAAATTATTATGCAATTATATAATTGTTAAAAAAACAATTAAAATACAATTAAATTGCGATTAATTGCAATTAAGTCCGTTTGAAATTTTCGGGGGATTAAATAAACATAAAAATTAAATGCAATGTACCGGAAAATTCCGAAAATATGCCGAAAAATTCTGGCGGCCACGCTGGAGTACCCTAGCCATCCAGAAAACGGACGGTCTACGGCAGGGACAGTGAAAAATATCGATTTGATTTTGCAAAAATATCGATCGATATGGTCAAAAATATCGATTTATATCGATTTACCAAGATTGGCCAATCAGAATGCATGATTTGGCGTAACCAAATATAACGTGATCAGTAACGTAACTTCCCGGCGAACATGTTTTTTTTGTTTGTTGATTGTCTACTTTTCCGAAACTTACCGACAATTCAGGTTAGCCATCGAGGTAGGATCGTCCCAAATTAGGAGATGATGATCCCGATCATGCATATTAGATTTAGCCAATAAAATTGTAAATATTAATCATATGATAAATATCACGTGTTGATTAACCAATAAAATTGTAAACTTTTATAAAATGAAAAAAAACGAAATTTAATTAAAATTTATAGTTAAAGTCCAAAATAAATGCCGCTAAATGTTACTGTTAAATAAGTA